TAGAAGATGTCGAGGCAGACCTCTACTATAATATAGAGACGTATGCCAGCGGCACATGAATGACACAGATATTTAAGTTAATAATGGGAACAAAATGCCATGGACAGTGTGTGGAAAAGGGGGGGGGGGGGGGGGGAGGGGCACATCATGAAGGTTGTGAGAAGTTGTGAGAATAAAGGAAGAAAACATTGCAGAAAGCTTGAGAGCTGAGCGTCTGAGAAGTAAGAGACTAAACACAAATGTTGACAACAACGGTCCTAAAATCCCCTACTATAATTGTGTAAGACTTTACTTACCGCAGGCGGGTCTTACTAGTTACACTCACCATCGCCATGAGCTATGAGTCCCATGCCTCCTTTTGCGCAGTATAACCTTATCGTCTGGAAAGACGGAGAGGTCCCAGTAAATCACACACACACACACACACACACACACACACATATATATATATATATATATATATATATATATATATATATATATATATAATAAACACACATACATATATATAATAAACACACAAATATATATACATAATATATACACACACATTTATATATAATATACATATATATATATATATATATATATATATATATATATATATATATATATATATATATATATATAATATACAAACATACATATATATATAATATACCCACATACACATAATACACACACACACACACACACACACATATATATATATATATATATATATATATATATATATATATATATATATATATATATATATATAATAAACACACATACATATATATAATAAACACACATATATATATACATAATATATACACACACATTTATATATAATATACATATATATATATATATATATATATATATATATATATATATATATATATATATATATATATATATATATATATATATAATATACAAACATACATATATATATAATATACCCACATACACATAATACACACACACACACACACACACACATATATATATATATATATATATATATATATATATATATATATATATAAAATATGCATATATATAATATAAACACATGCCTATATATATTATACATACACACACACACACACATAAATATATATATATATTTCGGGACAGGACTCTGTTTGTGATCTAGTTCTACTTGATGTTTAACTTTTGTAGAATTTCAACTTTTCCCCTCTTCTTGATTCATGGTATTCTGATAGTTTTTCTGTAACATTGTAATTCAAAAGCTCCGATCTTTTTCTTCAGTGACTGAGTAAAAGTCCAGGACTCACAACCGTAGGCTACCACAAGAAAAAATGCGTGATCTCAAGATTTTTGCTTTAACTAATTTACAGATGTTTTCTATAGTTTCCTAATGCTGTTTGATCTCTTATGATATCTTTCGAGCAGTCTCCACTGTTGTTTACTAAAGAGCCCAAGTATTAGAAATCAGTGACATTTTCTATTTCCTAATTATCGATTGTGATATGTGGTTTGTAGTCTGTATTTATTTAGGACAATAATTATTATTATTATTTTTTTTTTTTTAAATTCAGAAACAGATTTACTTTTTTGCTGTGCTTTTTGACGACCATAATTAATGTTTCTAAAACTTTTACACTACTGGAAAGAAGAACTCTGTCGTCTGCATATCTATGTTCTCACGTAGGATTACCTCCAATTGTTAGTGGATCAAAGCTCTCACATGCCTCATCGCTAATTACGTTTCTCATAACATTCTCAGCATGTATGTTAAAAAAGGACGGAGAAAGAATGCAGCGATGTCTCACTTTTTTCTGCACTTCAAACCACTTTGATGTTTCATCAGCTACTCTGACTGCTGCTTGTTGTTCACGGTAAAGAGATTCCATTAGGTGCACTAGACGTTTTGGAAATCCCATGCCTCTCATTAACTGCTACAGCTTATGGTGTCGCACACAGTCAAATGTCTTGCTGCAAACTATGAAACAAGTATGCAGATCTATCTTGTATTATCTATGCTTCTCTATAATGATTCTCATATTGAAAATACAGTGTCTTGTTCCACTGCCCCGTCTAAAACCCACTTGTGCTTCTTTAATTCTTATTCCAATGTATTCTCGATTCTCCTTAAGATGATCTGCAGAAAGTAATGTAAAGAAGATTAAAAAACATGGAAAAAAACTTTAGAGAAAATTACAAAACATCGTTAAGAACATATGTATCTTTGGTTGCAATGATTCACTATTTCTTAGGACTCAGATTTCAGCACTCTGGACACGTGCATATGTCTGTGATCTCCTCCTCTAAAGTCCCACAAGCGTCAATCTCTGATTCCGTCCGTTCTGTGTTAATTAATCAAACGTCCAAGGTCCTTAGTGAACAATTTATGTCTAGCCTACTAGATGCAACTAGGTATCACCAAATTGTCGGGGAATGCATATCCATAGGTCATTGATCTATAAGTCACTGATCAGCTCCGAACCCCCCCCCCCCCCCCCCCACCCCCACAATCGTAAATATTTGATCACATCCGTTCTGTGTTAATTAAACATCCTACGCCCTCAGCGAAGAATTTATGTCTAGCGGTTACAAGATACAGCCCTTACATCACTAACTGGTCGGGTACACAGACGGTTCAGTGCTAAGAGGCAAAAGAAGTGTTTGGGGTTTCTTAGCAAAAGGTAATGGTCGACGTTTGGTGCAGGAGAGCCTAGCATATGATACCACAACATCCAGCTTAAGAATGGAGGTGGAGGCGGTCACTGCAGCTTTCCGCTGGCTAGAGACCACGACACACACACACACACACATCGTGATTGTAACTGATTCAGGAAGCATGCTGAGGAAGATCAGAACATGTTTGCTTCGTGCACAGTGGCATGCTTCGCTGCGGAGGACACGCGTGAGGAGTATTGTCAGGATTTTTTCACCGGGTCACCCGTGTGTGTTGGGAAATGAACAGGCGGACAGACTGGCTGGCTCTGCACAACTTAGTGGAATACTGCTACATGATAAGTCAAACGTGGTTAGTGCCTTGTGGGAGAGCGTGTACAATTCGGAGGAGCAGATGGATCACCACAGTCTGGTGAGATTGATGCAGTTGGGGGTGACGAGAGGTTCTGGCAGATGCTGGAGGCTCAGAGGAAAGGCAAGACGGACGTTTAATCAGAATGCTACTGGCACCATTAGTATCGGAACTCTTCGCTGGCTGCTGAAGATGGGTACGGAGCGCTTATGGGAATGCCCCGAGTGCTGTGATGTCGGTTCTTGAATCAAATCAAATAAATGAGGTTATGCTTGTTGTACAGGGGCCTCAAAATGGGAGTTTAATTAACCCTTTTTGACCTAAACTTCATAATTATGTTATAGTGGTTTATTTCTCCACCCCTCACCCAAATATGTGTCAAAGGCGCCTAGTCGCGAGTACCAACCATGTTCAAAAGCTTTTTTGTAAGTATTTGTGTATATATTACATATTATTTGAAATATATCATTATTATATTAATTTGAGGTTACGCATGTTATTATTATTTAACACATAAGACTTCTTTAGTCTGCCTAGTCAAAGGAAAGTACCTTTCTTTGACGCCTTCAGACCTGCTGGGTATGCACCTCTAGATCTATATTTTATAGACCTATTGGAACTCGGTGGGTGAGGTGGTTAACAATAGATAGGTCATCTTTGCTTCCCATAACTTCACCTGGTACCTATTTTAGGCTGGGTCGACCTGGGAGCTAAGGTAATTTTTTAGAAGAAAAAATCTAGATTTAAGCCCATGACATTCTGATCTAGCCTTGTTTTACGGCTAAAGAGGTTTCTACGTGCATATATACATACATACACACACAAGACACTGTCAAAATCAAAAAGACATTGTATATTGAAATTTTGATTCTATAATTCTTTGCATGTTTAGTGGTAACAATATTTAGTAGTGATGGAATGGACGTCAGTAGACACTGTCGGAAATCGATAAAAGAAATACGACCTGGGATCATTTCGAATTTCATCAGTTGAACTGATCCAGAACACCAAAGATCGAGATGTGGAGATGCATCAACGCGTACACCAGCTGGCATGGCACTTGATTATGATGCAATGAAGTCTATTCTCTCGACTTAAACTTTTAGCTGAGTTCAGTTGATTCAAGAACCAACGTCACAGAACTCTGGGTGTTCCTAAAAGCTCCGTCCACATCTTCAGCAGCCAGCTCAAAGTTTCAATACCAATGATGCCAGTAGCATTCTAATTATACGTCCGCCTTGCCTTCCTCTTAGCGTCGAGTATGGGCCAGATCTTCTCGTCACTCACCGCGTCATCACTCTCACCAGACTGTGGTGTTAGTTTTAGTGTTAAGTACAAGTGAACATGAATTATATCAACTGCCACTATAAAGGCACACATTAGTCTGTGCAAGTTTAATGTCATGTACGTTTTATTGCTAATTGCCGGTTGTTTTCTTGGGACATAAACCATTTATTTTAAGGAGCCGAGAATAAAAGTGTTGGAGTGACTGGCTTTTGATTTATTGCTATTTTTTTCAATTGACTATTCAAATAAGTAATTATCATTTCGGCCTATTGGCGCTTTGGGATTTGGTACTTTATTGGTGAATTATATTTTATGTAATGATGATAGTGCCATCTTGTTGGGTTTTATATACATTTTGGCTTTGATTATTATTCTAATGAATTGGAATGTTGTTATAACCATTTAATCCAAGCAGGCATTCGTGATGTCAACAATAATTCCTACAAGTCAATATACTTTGTTTTAAAGTTTTGTTTGTTGGATGAATGTGTACCGATCATGGTATACTTTTTTTTTTAACAGGAGCTTCTGTAAATTGATTTTATAGCTCGACTTTGGAAATTAATGGTAGCGTTAGCTGTCAAACAATGAATTATCAGCACGGGTTGTGTTTACATATAAGTATCCATGTCTACAACAACTTGTGCTCACTCAACCCTCTGACGGCTTCGGTGTTGTTGACTCAAACAGATTCGAGAAGTATATCAACATGAAGGTGAGTTTGTGTCATCGACTAGTGGCGGTTTATCAACGGTGTCTGTTTCATTATTTTATTAGTTATTGTTCGCTTTTCCTTTCTCAACGTCCGCATCATAATTGTATCCCATCACTATCATCATCATTGTAATAATCATCATTATCATTGTCACAGTCGTTTTTATTAGTATTATTGTAATTATTATCATGATCATCTCTCATCATGCCTAAGGGGACAGGCAGTCAGGGACCAAGTTAAACAGATGAGCTTGATGTCAGTGCGGGCCGCCAAATGATCGCAGGTGGGTGCTTTGCTGGAGTTCAACCAACATTCCCGAAGCGGAAGTAAAGTAAAGGACCCTTTTCCACGCCTTTAAGCATATAGGGCATATAGAGCTAGACCTTTATTTTATACACCAATCAGCACAAGATGGGTGATGTGGTCAGCGCCACTGCACCCGGTACCCACTCAAGGCCGGGTCAACCTGGGAGCCAAGGTAATTTTTGAAAAAAAAAAGTCTGGCTCCGCCAGGGAGCGAACCCACGAACTTCCGATCCGCAGGCGAGCGTCTAGCCGCTCCGCCACGGCAACTCCCCCGAAGCCGGAGCTTTAGGTTATTATTCTGACCAGGTTATGTGTGCGAAATAAAATGGCTTAACAAAGGCACGCTACTAAAAGCCCTGAAAAAGACTTCTGCAACATAACACAGACTATGACCATTGGGAATCTGGTATTCTAATAAACTTTGTATTGGCCTTTGTAGATGGAGTGCTGTTTTATCGGTTATTGACTTTTAAATGTCGTTACAAATCAAACTTGAGTTGAGTTGAGTCAAGAATTGGCATCACAGAACTCGGGGCATTCCCAAGCGTGCTCCGTCTTCATCTGCAGCAGCTAGCGCAGAGCTCCAATACCAATGGTACCGGTAGTAATCTATTTGTATGTCCGTCTTCCCTTTCCCCTGAGTTAGCTAAAGTAAAAAAAAAAAAAAAAACAACAACACTGGTACAAGTGATACGTTCCCCATTTATTTAATGGGAACAATTTCAGAGTTAGTACACTGGAATTAACGGTCTCTTGCATTGATAATAGCGCAAAATTTTTACGTTGCAGGTTCAAGTAGCTTTAGTTTTGATATCACTTACCGCAGTCTGCAGTAGCACATCTCTGCCGGGAGCACCTTGGGTAATTTACCCAAGCATCGTTGACCCAATTGTCACACAAGCCGTCACATTCATTAATGAGTATTTTCGAAGTTTGGGAGACAACACACCACGGCAAGCATTGCGGGTTCTTAGAGCAACTGAGCAGGTACGATGTCTGCATGTGTGTGTGTGTGTACAGGCATGCGTGCAGTGTATAATATGTGGAGAAATATGTGTGTGTGTGTGTAATGTACATAATGTGTATGTTTCACTGAGTGCGTGTTTGTGTTGCTTTGTGTGTATTAGTAGATCTAATCTTCTTCTTCTTCTTCTTCACTTCCTCTTTTACCGCTGTCAGTGTCGAGGGAGATATAAAGTTCTGTCTCTAGCTCTTCTGGCTGCCTCGACAATAGGCACATCGTGCTGTTGTAGAGTTTCTCTGATGTTATCCTTCCATATTATTCTTGGTCTACCTCGTGCTTTACGTCCTTCTTCTCTTTCCATGTATGCTTTGTATGGTATGGTGTCACAAGGCATTCTCTCTAAGTGGGCAAACCATTTCACCTGCTGTCTTGGTATGTAATTTAGTATTGGTTCTGTGTCGACTTTGTCTCTTATGATCTCATTCCTGATGTTATCTTTTATGGTCACTCCTACAGCCCTTCTCAGACATCTCATCTCCATGGTTACTAATTTTCTTTTATGGTTTGTTGTGAGTGACCATGTCTGGCACTGGTAGCACAGAGTTGGAATAAATATGCCTTGAATACGATGTCTCTTTGTGCTAATTGGGATTGTCTTATGCTGTAAGAGGGGGCTAGCTGTCCCAATACTTGGTTTGCTTTACTGCATCTAATGTGAATTTCTTTATTCAATTTCCCTTCTTAGGTAAATTTAGTTCCCACATATTTAAACTCAGATGCCTGTTTAATGTCTTTGTACTCTATTGCTATGTTTAGATCTGTCTTCTTTTTTCCTATTGACATTATTTCTGTCTTTTCAGTGTTGATTCTCATATTATTTGTTTTACATTCTTCATTCATGGATGATAGATGTCGTTGCAATTTCATGGCTGTATCTGCTATCAAGGCCTGGTCATCTGCAAAAAGTAATTTGTTGGTGTTACTAACATTTTCATTCATGGCCTTGGCATTCTTGCATATACTGTCGATGTGGGTGATAAACAGCAGTGGTGATAAGACACACCCCTGTCTTACTCCAGATGTTACTGTCAATGGATGAGTAGATCTAATACTTCATTTATTAGATGAATTTACAATGATTTACACAGTTAAGGCGTAAATGAAGTTGCAAGAACGGGCATAAAGCCGCTTTATCTTGATCTCTAACTTCTGTTTCCTGTGGGAGGCTGTCGGCACCTTTTGATTTACAAACAGGCGGTGATATCCGAGGTTTTTCGCTCAGGTGGTCATCTTCTTCTCAGCAATCACTGGCTGTAAACTCCGACAGAAATTGTTGACTGTTCCAACACGTCTTGACTTTAGTCTTCTTGCAAAAGTAGATTTGTGTGTGCACATCAACTTAAAAAAATTAGATTAATTGTATTTCTAAAATTCTTGGCATATCATTCAGAGACCACATTACAAACGAAGAGGTTCGCCATAAAATTAAACAACACATTGGCAACCATAAACCTCTTTTAACTACAGCGAGAAGGCGAAAAATGCAATGGTATGGACTACATATGTAATAAGATCGAAGGGCCTCTCAGAAACAACAGTGCAGGGCTAAATACAGGGAAAGAGAAAAAAAAGCAGACCAAAAAAAACCTGGTTACAGAACCTGACTGACTGGACAGGCCTCAGTCATGCAACCATGAAGTCCATCGCAACTGACCGTCAAAGGTGGACACAGTTGATCAGACAGTCAACAGAAACTGGTTATCCAACGTCATGTAGTGTTATGGGATGATGATGATGATTTGTATTCAACTAGTGGCTTTCGCCTCACAGACAGCGGCATTCCGACTAATTACTTCGTGTGTTTCATGAGTGTGCAGGCGTGTGGGTGAGTGGGTGTGCGTGTGTGTGCGTACGTGTGTGTGCGTATGTGTGTGTTGTGTAAGTGTGCATGTGTGTGTGTGTGTTGTGTGTGTGTGTGTGTGTGTGTGGAAGGCGGAAGGGTGGGTGGGCTCTACGAATTACTTGTTAGGAAGCAAGGGGACGATTCTTGTTCCCAGAAACGTGGCCCCGAACACTCACAACGACCACATGTGCTCACTACCCAATGTGGCAGATGACAGAGTTCGAATCCTCGCAAGTCTATTGATCTTTTAGTTTTAACGCATACAAATGATCAGATAATATTGGTTACTTTCTACAGATTGTTTCTGGAGTTCTGTTCGTCTTCGATCTAACTGTTCTTGGGGGGCCTAGGGTAGGTGTGGATATTAGTTTCATCTATCTATCTATCTATCTATCTATCTATCTATCTATCTATCTATCTATCTATCTATCTATCTATCTATCTATCTATCTATCTATCTATCTATCTATCTATATATCTATCTATCTATCTATCTATCTATCTATCTATCTATCTATCTATCTATCTATCTATCTATCTATCTATCTATCTATCTATCTATCTATCTATCTATCTATCTATCTATCTATCTATCTATCTATCTATCTATCTTCTATCTATCTATCTATCTATCTATCTATCTATCTATCTATCTATCTATCTCTATCTATCTATCTATCTATCTATCTATCTATCTATCTATCTATCTATCTATCTATCTATCTATCTATCTATCTATCTATCTATCTATCTATCTATCTATATCTATCTATCTATCTATCTATCTATCTATCTATCTATCTATCTATCTATCTATCTATCTATCTATCTATCTATCTATCTATCTATCTATCTATCTATCTATCTATCTATCTATCTATCTATCTATCTATCTACTATCTATCTATCTATCTATCTATCTATCTATCTATCTATCTATCTATCTATCTATTATATCTATCTATCTATCTATCTATCCTATCTATCCATCTATCTCATCATATCTATCCATCTATCTATCATCTATCCATCCATCTATCGATCTATCGATCTATCCTATCCATCCATCTATCTATCTATCTATCTATCTATCTATCTATCTATCTATCTATCTATCTATCTATCTATCTATCTATCTATCTATCTATCTATCTATCTATCTATCTCTATCTATCTATCTATCTATCTATCTATCTATCTATCTATCTATCTATCTATCTATATCTATCTATCTATCTATCTATCTATCTATCTATCTATCTCTATCTATCTATCTATCTATCTATCTATCTATCTATCTATCTATCTATCTATCTATCTATCTATCTATCTATCTATCTATCTATCGTCTGTCTGTCTAAAAACCAAATATAAGAAGGGTCTGTGGGCTGTCTACTTTATTTATTTTACGTTGTATCCGGTTTTAGGCAAATTTGTCTTTTTGTTAAAACTATGTGATTGTTTATTTTTCCAATAAATCTGCTGTGTGTTTTTATGCAAATACGTTACTAATTTTTTACCATCTAATCTGTGTATGTGTGTTTTTTTTTCTTGGTGGAATCGATGTTTTCTTTCCCGTTTTTTTGTTTGCGAGCATAGTTAATGTGTTACTTCATCGTCCACGGCAAGTTACTACAGCAACTAACATCTAGTCATGTTTCTATTGTCATCAGATAGAAGAGTGCCATGTGGAGTATGTGAACCAACCATGGTTGCCCGTTCCTTACAGCTTGATAAAAAACGTCACTTGCGGTGAATACCATCCAGCCACAACGTACAAGCCTGTTATTTAATAATCCTACAGTAAAAATTCCCGAGCCTTACCCACCCATTACTTAAAACAGTATAGGAAACAATGCAGCAATATAACCAACTTTAGAAAACTATATGTTTCTTGACTTCTAGGTATTGTTTTCGTACAGTAAAAGTGTATTCAGCAAATACAAACCGAGTGTAGCGTACTTAAGTCTTTGTTAATTCCACCCCCCCCCCTCCCCCTTTAATCTTGTCGTCCCCTTGTGGGAAACAATTTTTCGTTATTTGAAGCTCCACCCTGGTTTTTGCCGGGGCCCTGAATATAACTGAGCTACAAAATGGCCACCAAGAACTCGACATTTCATGTCTTTATGTGTAGCATTTTTTTTTAGTTACTAATTTTAGGTGAGATTCCATTGTGCCCTATTAATTTCCAGAGAGATTCCCTATCAATGCTGTCAAATGCTTTTTCATAGTCTATGAATCCAATGTTTAATACTGAATTCAGTTCGATGCTTTGCTCTATTATTATGTGTAAGGTGGCAATCTGGTCATTTCAGGATCTGTCTGGGCGAAAACCTGCCTGTTCCGCATCGCTCTGCTTTTCATCAGTAGCATCTTTAAAAAAGTATCCCTAGTTGATATTTTTTCCAGGAACTGACAGCCCTATAATTTCTCTACAGTTTTCGCACTTCCGTAGATCACCTTTTTTAGGTGAAGTTTCACAAGAACTCCTTTTCTCCACTCTACTGGCATTTCTTCGGTCTCCCCGACTTTACTTAATAATCTATATAGCAACTCCATTGATGTATTTATGTATTGACCTTAATAACTCCTGCTGGGATATCCTCTACCGCCTTTCCTTCCCTCAGAAGACTGACAGCTTTCCTAATTTCCTCTTTAGACTGCATCTCATAGTTGATATCCAGTTCCATGTTTTAAGGCTGGATATCTAAAGGAATCTCTGGGGCTGGTCTATTCAAAAGTATTTCAAAATATCCTGCCCATGTGTCCATTTGATCTTTAGTGTTTGTGAGTACCTTTCCTTGACTATTTTTGGTTGATCCAGTTGGCTGACTATATTTACCTACAAATGTCCTTGTATTACTGCAAATGTCTCTGAGGTTTCATTTTGCTGCCGCTGTCTCCGTTTCTTGTGCTAGATCATCTGAATATTTCCTTTTATATGCCCTTATTCGCCTCCTAACTTCCTTACACGCTTCTCTGTATTTTTTTCTGAGCTCTAGCTTTAGCAGCTCTAGTTTTGCTATTGTTTAAGTCTTCCCTTTCACTTTTCCTTTCTTCGATCACTTTAACGGTTTATGGCTTTATACACGCTTTATGTTTCCTTTATTTCTTTCCAAGGACTTCTACACAAGATTCATTCCAAATTGCCTTGATCTAATCCCTGCAGATTTAAGTGCTTACCTCTTCAGCTAACTGCTGCAACATCTGGTACTTATTAGAGACCGTAACTGAAAATTGTTCCTTAAGCTTCTTTATCCATGAGATATCCTACATATACGTGTTTCTATGATTATAAAATGTTGTATATCTTTTGAGTTTCAATTCGATTTCACTGACTTAAAGAAAATGGTCAGTGAATACATCAGCACCTCTAAAAGCCCTAATATTCTAAAGGGATGATCTACATTTTTTGTTCATAATTATACAAGGTTTGACAATTAAGTAATGAGACTGATTTTATTATGGCCAAGACAAAAATTTCATATATGAAGCAAAGCATGGAATCCAAAGAGGCAACCTCCGTCTAAGATCCAGCAACTTTGCATCGCCGTTGGTAAGCAGACGACAAACAAGCATTTTATTGACTTAGTTAGATGTGCATTATTAGGAGATCAGCATAGAGCAAAAAAACAAACATTAAATTCTGTTTAAAACTCAGAAAAAGCGTCATTTAGACAGTTTAAATAATGCCACAAGTTTATGGGGACAATTGTTAATCTCGTGAACAGATTACAAAATTTCAGGTGGTATTAACGATTCAAAAGTGGTGTAGAAATGATTACTAATGCAACTAGAGCTGGACGCCTAGTTTCCGTTCGTAATGAGGAACTCACTGCAAAAGTCAGAGAACGGATACAAGAAGATCGTTGTTTGACTGTGAGGATGATGGCTGATGAATTTGATGTTAATAGAGAGACATTCGTAGTGGAAGATTTGGGCAGGAAAATAGTTGCTTGCCGGTTTGTACCACATTCCTTCCTTGTCTGATGACCAAAAACATCAGCGTGTTGAGTACGCTAAAGACATCATCAAAACGTGTCATAGAAGTAAAGAATTCTTAAATTTGATTGTTGCAGAGGATGAAACAAAGATTTTCCGCTATGATCCCACAACTAAACGCCAAAGTGCTTAACAGAAGTCATCATCATACTAAAAGCAAAAACATCCGTCTTCAAAGGTCGAAAGTGAAGACAATGTTGATGTGTTTTTACGACAGCAAAGGAGTTATTCACAAAGAATTTATTCCAGAGGGACAGACTGTCACAGCCACAGTTTATTTAAGTATTTTGAAACGTCTCTTGAAAAGGATTCTCAGAGTCCGACCCGAATATTCACCACCTGGCAGTTTTTTCCTTTCTCATGACAATGCACCGGCTCACCTGGCGATAGTTGTACAGGAATTGTTGGCCCAAAAACAAGTGTGTGTTCTCAGCCATCCACCCTACTCCCCAGATTTGTCTTTCTGTGATTATTTTCTATTCGCAAAATTAAAGTTACCCTTGAAATGGCGCTTCTTTGACGATATTGATGACATCCAAAGGGCCGTGACATCGACTTTAAAGGTCATAACAACAGGAGAACTACAGAGGTCGTTCCAGTGTTTGTTAGATCGTGCCACTTGCTGTATCAATGCACTAGGGGCTTACTTTGAACAAAATACAGGTTATATCTTCAACTGTTGATTATTTAAATTGTTATGGAATTAGTCTCATTACTTAATTGTCGGACCTTGTATGATCGATTTGATTGGTTGTCTTATGGTCTGGTGATTCCCATATAGCACTGAGTATTCTTTCATGTGGGAAAACCTTTCCATTGATGAATTACTGTTTTCCTGCACAACAATTTTTGACTAAAAATCCATTTTCATTCCTTTCTGTTAGTCTACGTTTTTTTTTTTTAATGGTGTTATCTGATTTTATCTTAAGATCCAGGTCTCCGTCAACATGTTTATATTGCCCTTTCTTTTATTTAAACAAAAAATAAAAAAATTTTGAAGTGGAATGTAACATTCCTCCCTAACTGATGCGTCCTTATCATTTGTTGGTGCATAACACTGTATTACCGACAAGTTCACTTTCTGTTTCGTTGTTATAAATGACGCTCCTGTTATTCTAGGACTCACATCTCTTTGCTTCTTTCGATAGCATCAGAGCCACTTCTTCACTATAGGGAGAACATTCGTCTGAAAATCCCGAGAACAAAATAGTTTCCCTTGAATTTATAATACCTTAAACCCGGTCCATCTAGTTTCACATAATCTTATAATCATCATCATCAGGTGCCTTGCAGACTGACATGGGCGATCATCGCTCTCCAATCTACGATCTCCTGCAGCATGTATTAGTTCGTGTGCTCACCTGACACACCTCCATGCCACGCAACAGGACTGTCAAGAATCTTCTCTCGTTGTCTTTCTCTATCCTTTCTTCCACATATCTTTTCAGTGGTCACAACATCTTTAATTTTTCCTTTTCTTATAACATGGCCAAAAAATTATGACTGTATACTTCTGATGTCTGTGATAAATTGTTAAAATTTTAAAATACTAATCCTTTTATGTTTCGTTTCCCTTAATACTGGCATTGTTCTTTCTACACCGTACAACGTTCTAACTGTCCAGGTGCCAATTCTAGATATTTTCTTATATGAAAGGAGGTACATCGACGATCCGGACTCCTTTCGGTTTTCTCCGCACAGTGTCATACTTTTTCTACTAGAAGAGACTCACATTATTTTGGTTGGCTAGGTTTTTCGTATTTCTCTTTTAACCTTTTCCATGTTTGGTTGGTTTTCGAGGCTATTGTATTTGCAGGAAAAGGCAGCCAACCCCAAGCCCAACCCTACCCTCAGTCGCCTTTTACGACATGCCTCGTAGGATGTAGTGCTACTATGCTTTGCTTCCCGTGAGAACCCCAAACCAAATTTATAGCAGCAGTACCGGTAGCTTTTATAGGCATAATTTTTTAGAACTACTGTAAGAGTGTCGGCGTCTTTGGCTTTAGCATTGCGCACGTGCTTCGTAATGCCGGGTTCCATCCCAGCTGCGGGCCTTGCGCCTTGCCTTGGTTTCGACAGTGGTATCGAGAAGCCGACCGTCCAGAGAGAAATGGCAAACTACTAGACGTAAATTTGCCTAGAAAAACCACAACAGCAAATCACACACACACAAACAAAAACAAAAAATACCGATGTTGGTTCTGTAAGAGCGACTTTGTAGTAAGTAGAACTATTTTTATATATTTCGTGGCGAGTAGTAGTAGTAGCAATTTTTCTCCACGATTGTAATAGCACCCACATACGCCTTAACTATATGTATTTGTAGTACCTTTCATTTCAAAATAGTGCGTTCCCTTTCACATTGCAGTGAAAGCCTTGCGCTCACATTGAGACAAATAAAACAATCACAAGTTTTAAAAAAAAGGGGATGGGAGGTTGGCAGGAGGAAGATGCTTAGCTCCTCACACAGTTTTTGTTGGGGGAGAGGGGAGTCAGTGTGCCTAAGCAAGGTTTGCGTGATTTATATAATAATAATAATAATAATAATAATAATAATAATAATAATAATAATAATAATAATAATAAAATATATTAACAATAGTAACAACAAAAACAATAACAATAAATATGTGGAATGACAATTTAATATACGCCTACGCCCCCACAAAGCCCCTGACTCACACACAAGCACACGCAGGCATACATACATTTTTCTGTGGCAATTTCAATGCCAAACGTCATAGGGAAACATAACAGTCAAGAGGAGGTCCTCCCAAAGTCGAGACTCCAA